TTATGTTTAATCTATCTAATAGTGTGTTGGTCATACTATACAATGCTATAGCTTGACTTTGTTGAATAATACAGAACATAAAGAGTTTTAAAAAAAAATAATTGCATATGAAATCGCAATTAGATTATTTTCCAAAATCGTTCAGCCCTAAGTGAAACACAAAAGCGTGTCTGAACTCACCCTGGTTTGGGTACTTTGAATTTCCTGGGTTTCTTCTCCTCCAGGCCGCCGTCCTGCTTCTTCTTCCTTCTCTTTATCACCCGCTCCTCTCCATCTTTCTGTCAATCAGAGCCAAGAACATCATCTCAGTCAATCGAACCATCACAGACTCAAGAGATCAGACAGAAATCACCTGGGATATCACGACAGAAACTCCTGACCAAGAACAAGGACTGCATGATTTGGTCAAGCAAGTCATACTGTGATTACTTCAACTAAAACTAGTTTGAACTGTGATATGATAACCAAAAATTTTTATGTTATGGCTGATAATCAATAAATAGGCCAATATTACAAATCCAAAGTACTTGGTTAAACTACTTCATTAAAAACAATTACAACTAGTAAAAACTATTGTAAAATGCACACTTTAAAGGGTTTAATGTACCATAATCAGTGCTTGTCCCATTAAATTAGTGCTAGATGAATCTTAAAATGGGTTGAAACAATTACATATCCAATAACAGCTGACAGATATCCAATAATGTCCAATATACTGGTAAATAAAACAGTGCCAATAATTGATACTGCAACAATTTATGATGCATCCCTAATTGCTGCGGCTTAAATATTAATGTTGATTTTTTTTTTGTGTGATTATTGCATTAAAGCAGACTGGCAAACAAAAAGATGTGAGACGTCCGCACCAAATACTGAAGATGTTTGGTGCTACAGCTTAAAAAAAAAAAAGAGTTCAGTTGCTGCTGCTTAGATATTAAAGCTAAAAAGTCTTCAGTGAAACATGCTTAACAGAGTGTGTGGAAATAATGCATGAAGACTATGTTTATGAATTATTTGGTGGTTTAATAATCATACCAGATTGATTTTTTGATTAAAT